CTGGTCTTGCAGCTTTTCTGGGCTAATAGACACAAGCATTTATAGCTTGTTTAAAGCAAGCCCTGTGTCCACAGTTGTTGGGGTAAGAATCCTGAGTGCATTTATGTGAAGCTTGATGTGAAGAAGACATGTCCTGCAGCACAACAGATTCAGTTCACAAAAAAGAGCCCTCCAAATGAACGTCAGAAGTGAGAGGCCAGTGCTACTGCAATAGAGGCAGCAGGCTTGTGCTTGGTCCAAATTTGGGCTTGCTGATTGGATGATATTGAGGGCTATGATTCGTCCAGCTTAGATCCAGCTGATTGCTGTGAATTTAAGCATGCCAATTTTTTCAAATTGAGTCCTGGAATTCACCAAAATTTGGGCTTGTTGATTGGTCCAAATGTCCACATTCAAGTCCCTGATCTGAGAACACTGACTGGTCCCAATTCAGTTTTCCTGCTAAGTTTAATATCAAGCCTGATATGATCAGAGTAGATAGTTGCTGCACTGGTGCAGGGCATGCACAATCATTACAGCTGTCATGGTGATAGTTCTAGGGCACATCAAGGGCAGCTGCTGCAGCTGGATTGACAGCTGCTATGTCTCCGCAAGAATGGCCAGGCCAATACTCTTCAACCTGCAGGAGGACTAGCTGTGTCCTCACCTTATTGAGGACTGGGAATAACGGACCTCAGCCCTCCCTGATCCCTTCCACTCTAGAGGAGGTTTCCTGGCCACTTCTGCAGAGGTGGCAGCAGCATCTGGGGAGGTGGGTGTGGGAGAATGGCACTGTGGGTGACAACCAAGTGGCATCTTGTGTCAGGCTGTCCCAGAGAGCAGCTATGAAGTAACTTTAGAGTTGACAGCAGGACACGGAGGCAAGTGGTCTTGTTCCACCCAGAGGGGACAAAGGGAAGCAAAGGCAAACAAGGGGATGTGGCAGGATAGCTGTTGGCCACGCCCTTGTGTGGCCATCAGAGGAGAAAGGGGAGAGGCAGGGGTGACTCCCTGCTCTGACTGCTCCAGAACCGGGCACATTTATAAGCCCCGGCATGGCTACCTGAGGGAGTCTGGATGGAAGCCTGCTGCACTACAGCACCCTGCC